CAATCTTTATCATTGCTTACAACAAAGCAACAATCCAAGGATTTTTAATTTAGGAGAGACCTTATTAATCATGTGTAGAATCAAAACTTTACAAGCATGTAATTTACTAAGTTGAAAGCCTTTTGAGAAGAACTTAATAATTTTCTGACTTGTCTATACTTATGGAAAATGCATGTGTGGAGGAATTAGTGAGCTAAATAATTATTTAAAAGAGAATACGTTTTATTTTTTCTCGTGAAATTTAATGATACCTTCATAGAGATCCTCTTCCTCCTATTAATCAAGTTTTCTCACTAGTTTCTCAAAAGAAATGATAACGAGTTATTAGTTATAACTCCATATTGAAGTTAACTAAGTCATCCGCAAGAGTATTTTTATGACTAAAAGTAAAATTTTTTAAAGACTCAACGAGAATAAGGATACGAGAAGAGTCAAATCTTTCTGCACTAATATAATATTCATGGTCATATGGTTGAATAATGTTATAAAATCCATAATCATCCTCCTATCTATAGGTGGAGATAGAAGAATTCAACCACTGCAAATCAGGTTATGACACAAATTAGAAGTAAATTAAATCTCATCAGAATCAATAATTTTGTTCATAATCTTAATTCTTCTTAATATCAACAACTGATGACACTTATGCGTAGTCATATGATAAATTCTATTAAAGTCTCAAAATCTCAAGATAATTTTTTATTTCACATAGTGTGTGTATATATATATATATATATATATATTTATTTCTCAAATAATTTTAAGGATTCAACATGATGTATTCTTAAAAATCTAATTTTCATTGTAACAATCCGAACTCTCATCTAAAGTCCTGACCGTACACACACCATATAATGATAAAATAGTTTGTAGGAATACATAACGCAATAAATTTTAAAATAATTAAAGTATATCTCTTATGTAATTAGTTTAAAATATTTAATATTTATTAAGCATGTCTAAACTCTAAAATAAATTCTCACTACAAAAGAAATAATTCACCGTAAGTATTGTTCGAATGAAAATAAAACTATCTCCTCACAAATCACTCACTGTTGAGGATCGAGATTATGATTATCTTGATTTGGAAAAAAAAATGAATACTGAATACGGTGGACTTGCTACACTCAGTAAGCGTGTAAGTACTAACAAATTATAGAATAATCTATCAAAGTTGATAGAAAATATAAAACTACTGATAGATAGAGTTTAAAAATAATTTTTCTTTAAATTCTAAAAATATGTGGTATCTACACACTAACTCATTCACTAAATTTTCTAAATCAGTTCATTCAGTAAATATTAGAATTTGGTATAAATAATTTAGTAAATATCAGAATTTGGTATTCTAGTATCATAATTTAATACATACACAGTTCAATAAACATCAAAGTTCAATATTTCATAAGACTTAAATATTTTAGTAAACATCATGCTTTAGTATTTCAGTATCATAGACTTTATACATAACTTACATTCATTCACATTAGTCTACCTCTTTATTAAAAATAGTTACATCGTGCAATGCCATTTTTGCTAGTATCAGCAAGGGCAATAAGGATCCCATCTACCGCGTGGATACATCACAGTTTAGTTTACAGTTCACAGTTTGCAGTATATAATATACAATTTACAGTTTCACACTACTTATTGTTTTACCACATCTAGCTAAAGTTGTATCCATGGGTAGGGATCACCACAGTTACACACCAAAAGCCACACATACATCCACCCATCGGTGATACCAGTTAAATGGGTTTTCATGT